GAAGAAAAACTTTAATATAAGTTTAACATAACAGCAAATGTACAATGTTTCGATAAGGTTTTGTCATGAGATAACCTTGTCGAAATGTTATATATTTGCTGTTATCTTAAACTTGTATTAAAGTTTTTCTTCATTACCCATTCAAGCCATCTCCAAGCATTATTAATTTAGTGCTATCGCAATCTATAATGAAGATCAAGGAGTGTGACAGATTCTTTGCAAAACTTAAGTCATTCTCTTTGTTTTTTGCGAAATCAATAAAGCGTGTGCATCTTTTAGATACTGAACTGAAGAAAAGATTCCTGAAAGTGGCCCCTACTAATTGGAATTATAATCACTGCCTTGTTGAAACTGTCTTGGAATACAAGAAAGAACTCATTGACTTATTTGAAAATATTGTTGATAATTTTGGCAACTGGGATACTGAAACCTTTTCCTGTGCCAAAGCACTTTCATCAAATTTCAGAGATTTTGAGTTAAATTTCTTGTTGAATATAGTTGCCAGTATTTTTTCATATACAAATGTTATATTTGATGTTCTACAGAATAGGATATTTGACATATCCTACCGTAAGAATAAAGTAAATGAAATGGTGACTATTCTGCAAAAAAAAAAAAGAGAGTCGACTTTGATGAATATTTGACAGCAGTCGATGGATTATACCCTCCTACTAAGCGAATAAAAATGATCCTGGGGAAGGTATTTAAATGACATACAGAAAGTTATTTTATAAAAGTCTGGATGCAATTTGTGACCAAACATACCATTCTTTGAGCTTGTTAACACTAAAAAATAGGAAGAGAACAAAAAAATATTTCCTGAATTAGCATTAAAATCATTGCAAGATAATTATGGAGAATACTTTGATATTCATCGCATGAAAAGTGAAATTTCGGTTTTCTATTCTGATGCTGATTTGAAAAGAAAACCAATGAATGAATTACTTTATTGTTTGCAAAATGCCAAGTTAGATGCAGCCATGCAACAACTTGCAAAGTTGTGTGAGTTAACCTTGACTCTTCCACCCACTAGTGCTTCAGTTAAGTGTTCTTTCTCTCCTTTGAAGAGAATACACAGCTACACCAGAAATACGCAAGGACAAGAAAGACTTGCAAGTTTAGTGTTATTCGCGATTGAGAAAAAGCTTCTTAAGGAAATCAAGACTGATAGTTTTTATGAAGATGTAATGAATGTATTCAATCAAAAGGGAAGAAGGATGGAATTAACATATAAATAAAGTAAGTAGCCGAATATGTCTTGATTTATCTTTAATTGGAAGTACTTAATCTTAAATATGATTAATGACTACAATTAATTAATGTTATCTTTATTGGCTGTCCAGCTAATAACCACAAAAGTATCTGTGAGAGTAATTATATTATGATTTTTCATAATGTAAGCACATCTTTACAAAATTTTGCAGGTTATTGGTAAACATTACAAGGTTTTCACACACAAAATATTAGGTTATTAAATTCAGTATTAAGATTTTTTAATTAAAAATGTTCTTGTAAACCTTTTTATTTCAGACTGTTGACTATCCAACATGCAAAGTAATTTTGATTTTAAGATTAAAAATACTTTATTGCATTAGAACATTATCAAATTTTTTGTTGAAAAAAATATTTTATTTGTTATTTTCTCCAGTGTATTTCTGTACAGGTTGGTTCGATATGACCTACTTTGTAACCTCAATAAATAATTAGGAAAAATATAAATTATGCTTTTTTCATTCTGGAATGACTACAAATTATGACACAGTATATAAATTTTTATATATTTATTATTGTTATTATATTGACGTTCCAACCATGCCTGGCTAACAATACAGAAGTTACAATGATGTGATGCACATACACTCGTGTTACTGTATCCAATAATATATAACTGATCTTTAGTCTTTACAAAGTGACCTGTCGTGGCTGTGTTTTAGTGAACTAGTACTTTGTAAAATATAGTCACATTTCAACTATTATGTATTATATATGTATATGCATTATTTCTGTTTACAAATAGGTTATTAAACTTATTTTTCTTAAAACATAGAACAGTAAATAAAGTAAAGCAAACAGTTATTTCTTCTAGTTACAACCTTTGTACTCATTTGCTGCTTGTCGTAGGTTGCTAAGCCTTATGAAATTTCCTACATAGAGGATGTAAAAAGAAATTTTTTTTAGGTTTTATATATACATTTTAACTAACCAAAAAATCATAAATTAGTATATCGACACCATAGAATTCCACTATAATGTATCAAGCATATTTGATAAATTATTAACTAAGCTGTATTTGGTTCTAAAAAAATATAAAATTTCGAGCTCACTAAAGACTTACCTCATCATTTGAAATGTTGTGTGGAAAGAATGAAATTAGCACATTAACACTTCAAAATGGCTGAGAAAACTACTAGGGAGACATTCTGAGCTTTTGATTGGTTATTCATATCATATATAGAAGTGTATATAAGGGACTTTCCAAAAATAGAAAGGGGTGGGTGGACGGGGCACTGTGTTTGATTCTCTACAGGAGCGATTTATTAGGAAATAAAGACATTCTTATTTTATATTCTAGCTTGTCTGTATCGGTAGTTTGAGTTCCTAATTCATGCAAAACTGTATTTTTGTATTTTGACATCTAATTTGAACCAGTGCTGCATTCAACATACTACGTGACACACAAAAATTGATGTTTAGCTGTGCTTTTTTAATATTTATTTTTAATTAAGAAATTAACTAATGTATAATAGTAAAAGTTGAATTAAAATCTACAATTTTATACCAAACTTATTGACATAGATTCATAAAATAGTAGTTCAATAAAATTTTTAATGCAAGTAAACAAATGCAATGACATGGCCTTTGACACATGACCGTCGAGATAGGGTTAACAAAGTTTAGAATTTTATTGGGCAGTCAACATAGTTTCACTAAGGGAAAATTTTGCTTCATGAATCTTTTGACATTCTTTGAAAAGGTTACTGCTTATATAGATGAGGGTAAGGTTGTAGATTTGGTGTATCTGGATTTTCAGAAAGCATTTGAAAAGGTGCTACATAAAAGATGTGTAAAAAATTATCTCTGTTGGTTTGGAGGATAAGATAGAAGAGTGGTTTGATGGAAGAAAGCAGAGGGTTGTTGCAAAAGCAGTTCAGTCAAACTGGATTAATGTCACAAATGGGATACCTCAGGGCTAGGACCTTTGCTCTTTTTGATTTACATCAGTGACATAAATGAAAGAATGGTCAATAAATTACATAAATTTGCAGAGGATATTAAGGTCTTGGGTGTTGCTAGTTGTGAAGAGGATGCTGCTGATTTACAAAAGGGTTTAGATCATTTAGTGATTGGGCAAATAAAGGGCAGATGAGTTTTAATTATAATAAATGCAAGATAATGTATGTGG